TATTTTAGTTTGATATTGACAGCTGTTTGTGGGTTTATTTTATGGGGACAAAATCTTTATTTTTTACTTTACTGTACTGAAAGGCTTAACATGTAATGTCTACTTTATCGACTTTACCATTGTAAAGTGTAAACAAATTAAGTGCAAAATATAAATAAATGAGTATATATAGGCTCCTACATGGTAAAAATGTTGTATAATTTGCCAGATTTTGAAGTTGGATTACATATTGTTCCTAAAATCCACCCCAAATCCACCCTTCTCTTGGGATCAGGATAATCCTGATTTTTTGGATCAAACAACACAAACTGAAGGTTTGATCCAGAACCAAAACCAGGATTGGATAAGGTGATCTGATCCAGTTTCAGAATACTTTTTTCTTTTGAACAACCCCATTTTCAAGATTTGATCCAATCCGATAGCCGAAATCCAATCAGATTACTTTTGAACAACTGGGCCCTGGGGATCACCAAAGTCAAGATTCATCCTGGGAACAATGAATGTATCTGCAAGTTTCATGGAAATCCATCCAATAGATGTTGACATATTTCTGTCTGGACCAAAATGATGGACCAACCAATGGACATTACAGAGCTGTTAGCGTGACTGACAAGGGGGGGGGGGGGGACACAGGTTCAACTGTAGCCCTCTATTTAATCAAAGGATTTGTATTCAAAGGTTTATCAATAATTCCGTAGGTGACCAGACAGGGGGCCAAGCCAGCTTTGCTAAATTATATGCTTTGCATATAAGAATGGCTTCTAGAGCGTATTTACCAGTATTAAACCTGGTAAATGTGCACATGTCCATTCATTAAGTTTTACCACAGTCAAATTATGGACCACATAGGCAAAAATATTTTTTTCAGTCTTATCTTTAATTCTTTTATCAACTAAAGAAAAGATAAACATCTTCACAGAAGAACCTTAATAACATGTATGGGAAAGTGTACTTCAGATTCAGAGTAGAAGGGAACTAAGAGGCCCCCATCTGATTTCCTCAACAGCTTGTCAAACAAAAATTGCAAACACGAGTTACAAAACAGTTTCTCTTTCCCATATTTATGGTAACTTTTTTCTTTTTTTTGTGGAATTTAATTCCTATTGCATGTGTTTTTGCAAGTCAGTCTTCTAGTATGTATCTGAGTGCATATCTCATGTCAGCGAGTGTATTATTAAGTTACCAGAAAGTGTGGGAGGGAGGTCTCCTTCAGCACAATAGAGGCCATGGGGGAGATTGGTGACTCATAGGATCTCAGGAGACAGAGCGGACGCACAGATCTGTGAGGAGACAGGGACAATGGTGAAGGCTACAGATGGCACTGCTCTGAAAAGACTCGAACAGAGGATATACACCTCCCATGTATGGATGTCACAGCCAGATGCTAATTCACTTGACATTGGTGTGTCCTCTCCGGAAGACTCAATTCAGAACATAAAACAAGATCTAATGTTACAGGTATAGTACTTTGTGTGCTTAGGATGAAACATATCTGGAGAAAAGAGGACAAAATGTACTGAATATATAATACTGTAAACAGTAACAGCAATGCTGAGCGCCAGATTTGTTCATCTCAGGTCTTCGAATGTGCATCAGAGCTCCACAGGAGTAGAAACATACTAGGCTGCTGTTTTGTAGGGGGTGAGAACAGGAAGTTTTTCTACAATAACACCCTGGGAAATAAAGAAAATTCCACAGGGGTTGAGAGAGAAAGAGACAGAAAAACACACAGGGTGAGAGAGACGAAGAAAAAACATTATGTGTATTTCAAGCCTGAAACATTACAACAAATAAAACATTTCCTGGAGTGTATTGTTCTCATTTCTGTGATGACTTCTTCCCCTTGTTGCCATCGGTGCCCCAGATCTTTAAAAAACAAACAAAAAAAACAGCCATAACCCCAGAGAAAGCTCTCTGTCTGATAACCTCAAAGCCAAAGCTTTTAGGTGTGTCTTTATGCTTAAATAGGTCATGTTGTTCAGCCGACCAGATTGAGGCAAATGTCTCTTGGAAACCAGATGAAAGGACTAAACAAAAGACAGAAACTGCTAGAGGTGGGATTACTCTGAGAGTAGAGGACGAGGTCTGCCTCCGTGTGCGTGTTTGAGCATGCGTGTTTCCAGTTAAGATCAAGATCTCCCAGTGAAGAATCTGCCAACTTGTTACTGTATCCAAGCCTGGCGCCACAGTTTGTGCAGGTCGCTCTTTTGCTATTATAAGTTAATCAGCAACACAAATTGACTTAACTGCAAAGGGATGAAGGTTGACTGGATGTGTAATCAAAAACACAATATGATTAGGCACCCAGGACCCTCCTACCTTTCATGCAACATGAAAAATAAGGAGTCAGAATTAAAACGGAGACTGAAAGAAAAGCAAAAGGTGTTCACAGATGCAGAAGTCGCGTGGAGATGGAGAGATGGCGGATAGAGCAGGGATTGTTCACGGAAGCACACCTGCTCCACAGCTTTGAAGGAGAGATGAAAGCCTGTACTCTAATTACAGCACTTCGAACACAAATGTCAGTTTTCACTCCTCTTTGCCTGTGAGGTTTGTGGACTAAATAAAAAAAGTCCTCTCACTCTCACCCACCCCACCCCTCTTTTATTTGTCACATCTCACATTACCGCCACCCTCGTGAGAAGGGTTCCCTTAAATTTGTGTGTTTCTCTACTGTGCAGTGAAGCGCATACTGTATCTCAGCTTTGTTAGATGGTGAAACGTTCCTCTGGATCTCAGTTTTGCCTAACAGGCTAGGACAGGAGAAGACCGGGTTTGTTTTGCCCTAAACACAGATTTAATGGATTCATAAATGATGTGCAGTCATGTTTAATGAAATGCCAGCATGATAGAAGTAAAAAGACAGCTGCATATTATTGTGAATACCTGCTTTTATCACAATAAAGAGAGGAGAGGAGGCAGGGAAGGAGAACAACACAATATTTCCCTGCACTTATTCTCAATCAGATTCAATCTGTGTAGAACTGGTGCAACACTGCTTTGCAATGATGCGTGTATAAGCACCCAAATGATTCTGTCCCTGCAACACTGAACTCTAGAAATCCCCAATCCCCAGACTCGTGCCATTTAACAACGGCACAATGGAAAAGCGCATAAGAGTTTCATCTTTTATTCACTAAGGCACTCATGATGAATTAAAGTGACATTATCTAAGAGCCTGTAAGCTGCAGGTTAGATAACATGTAAATCTCTATCTAAGACGATATGTTGTTACCTAAAGTGTTCTGAAATGTCTTTTTAAATGCCAGGAATAAGTCTATTAATATGAAAGTAGTCATGACTGCATGGCCTTATCGAAATGAGTGCAACAGCAACAGATGGGAAGCTGCTACACCTAGTGGATTTCTGACAGAAGCACAAGATCTTTAAGTTAGGAACGAGGCTTATGTAGTGACATGCTCATGATATCTTATTTCTCAAAATCTATTTACAAGTTAATAAATAGAACATGTAAGATTTTTTAATTAGATGGAACAGATCAGTAACAATTAAGTTCTTTCGCACAACATAATGGTGAAAATAAATGCAAAAAGAAGCCTTTTTTAAAGGATAGGTGTACATTTTTGTCATGTCTGTCTAAAGCAATACACAACATCAGGGTACCTCGTGTCCACCCATGCTGGCCCTGAAGCGATTGCCTCCTAAGATTACAATGTAAGGAAGAGAGGGACAAAATCCAGTCCATGTACTATGCAAAAATATAGTCACATAGAACACCATTTCCTCTTTAAGTTACTGCATGGAGCAAGAAAACACTGTCCAGGGAAACACACAGAGGGGATATGCTACAAAAAGGACAGTAACTGTGGAAGATATGCACTTCATTCACCAGCTGAACTTTAGAAAGCATTCTTGCACAGAACGAGGACTGTGGATTTTGTCCCCCACATCAAATTAGAAAGGAATCTCAGTCACGGCCAGTATGGAGAGGAGGAATGATTACAGCAACCAAACACTGTTTCAATGGACATATGGGCATGTGAATGTTGTATTAAGATAGACTTGAAAATAATGTGGACCTGTCATTTAAGCCTCTATGAGCTCTTCTGGACCCCTCGCTCTAACAGCTTAGGATATAAAGTGTGCATGACCTGAAATACCTGTGAAACTCAAATTAGCTCAGTCAGTATTTAAATAACTTCTCAGGTCACTCTTTGTCAAATGTGTCAAATTTTGATTTTACATGGTTTTATATTTATGTATTTAATTATTATGAGACCCAATCTCACTTTTTAACTTAATCAGACATCAGCTGGGCTGCGATCATTTCCTCCGCTAATGTTTCACACTGAAATATCTGAAACTGGAGGTTGGGCAATCGTAGCCATTAGAGACCTCACTATAAGCTTAATGCCGGGTTAATTTCAAAATGAAGGAGAGCAAATGGACTGTGAAATATGTGCTAATGGTAACAAGCTTTCCCCAAGATTGCAGAAGGGGAGAGAAAGAGAGACCGTATAATGGCCTGTGCTGTTATCACGGAGTCTACACATATAATTTCACAGAGTTTTGAAGTCAGAATTCAGGGACAAGGGCAATTAAACCAGGGACTGCAAAGGGACAACCTGGTATAATGCTGTGTTACAAAGTTCACACAGAGAGACAGAGTTCATTTAAAGTATACCGTTTAAAAATACAGCTCACATCAAACGTTTAAATCTCAACTTCTGCGATTTCCAAGAGCAATATGAAAACACATGTTTGCAATTAAAGCAATGTGAGATGTGCTATTTGCAGAAAAGGTTCACTACTGCAAACATAATTTCACATCTTTAGAGGAAATTTGGTAGCTAAATATTCATTAAAGAGTGCAACACCTCCTCACTCGGGCCACCCAGTTAAACATCCGCCTGTACAATAGTAGCTTGTTCTCCTTCATACATGTGAGGTGCAGAAAGCCACACACTTTTATACCATGCTTTCAGTCTCCACTGGTAAAGCTCTAAAGCAGATTACTAAGTTAAATAGTTCAGTGGTTCAACTAACATGTTTTGGTCCGTCACTCACAGCTTCCTTCCTTCAAAAGTACCTTTGAAACGTACAGTTTGACGATGACTTCAACACTCAGATGAAACTTTGTTTGAGCTGCAACATGTAGGTCGTTTTCCTCAAGCCAAACCTTGTATTTACAACTTACATAAAGACATAGCTTCCCTGGAACATTTCAGTTTGAATTCAGCTTAAGAGCAAAATCACACAGCAACTCCCTCTACATTTAATACACGCATTTAAGACTGCTACACTGACATCAAGCCAAAATGATTTACTGTTATTATACTTAGGACAACTAAGCAGCTTATATAATGCAAAACACAAATGGGTTGTTTTCTACATGAGTCAGACTCCATACGCTCTAAGCTTAAAAATGGCACCTTTTTTCTCCTTAAGCAATACATCCAAACTAGAGCAGGCGAACACACAAATGAGCAGTCACTTTTGTCCAGGATGAAACTAAACCATTTCTGATCAAGAGTTAAAAATCCAGTATGCTGCATTGGTCTTTTTCACAGAATTACCAACCGGTGCTCCATTACAACAATTGTCAACAAAACAATTTATCTGAGGGGTGCTGCAAGAGGAGGGAAATGCCTCAGAATCAGCACTTACTAGGACGGCAGATCCAACAGATCTCCAGTCTGTTCGCCTGAGATCTGATCAAGAGACTTCCCGGCATCATCTGTATGGCATTTTCTAACTGAGAATTTGTGGGGGAAAAAACATAGCTCACAAGAACAGCTGGCAGTCAGAAGCAGTAGAGCCACCAGACTTAAGTGGAGAGCTGAAACACCCATTAAAAGGGAGTGTATCTCTAGACAACTGCATTCAAGTTAGCTCACCGGGTAAATGAGGTGATCAATCACTTTGTATGTATGTCACAAACAAGCAAAAGAACAAAAGAGTAGGTTAATTACAAGCTTTAATGTAACGTCAAACAAAAATATAAAATTTTAATGAAGATATGCATCATGGTATAAATGAATCTAAGAGATACCATAAATAAATGTGTGTCACTTGTGAATGTTTAGCTTTTAAGTAAGCACGCACTTGAACAGGCCACACTGTTACTGTCACAATTATTCTTCTAGGAGGAGTACAATATAAAATACCACTCCATATTCAAGGCTAAGAAGTGAAAAATAATATTCCCAAAGCTGGAATCATCCAGGAAAAACAAAAAGAGTAGAAAGAAATTTATCAAAAAGGCTACAATAAATGCAATCTGCTATTCAGGACAAATTACACATGGCCTGATCAATATTCCATTTATTATCTTTTAACCCCTGCTGAATCAGCGTTGGCAAACAGAAATGAAGGATCTTTGAGATGCTGTATCCTTGTCCTTCCATAGTCTCTTGCAAACAGTAAAAGAACTTTATAAATTCTCCTTGTAACTAAAGACCAGTGAAGACCTTGAAGCTTCAGCTCCACTTCAGGTCCTAAATCAAGTCTTTTATAAAGTGCATGACTTCACGATACACTCTCGACCTCTCGTTTGTTTTTTTTAACACAGATATCCAGATTCACAGCACTGTATAATGCTGCTTCCTCTCAGGAGAGGTGGAACAGGCTGTGGCCGACCTGTGAGGCGTACATAGCCAGATGTGCAGCGGGGAGAATAGGGCTGCGGCCGTATGAGCAGCCCAGTCCGTAGAGTGCTGCTGATCCAGCCTGCAGGTTGACACTAAGGGGAAAACCGAAGCCTGGGTGGAATACAGCTTTGGGCCCAATGCCAGCTGTTACTTTGAGTTTCTCCAATTCGGCCTCCTGAAGTCTCTTGGCTTTGGCTCGTCTGTTTTGGAACCAGATCTTGACCTGGGTCTCGGACAGCGACAGAGAGGAGGAGAACTCGGCCCGCTCGGCGATGGACAGGTATTGCTTCTGACGAAACTTCCGCTCCAGGGCCAGGAGCTGCGTGGTGGTGAAGGGAGTGCGAGGCTTGCGGTTGGTTTTGTGCTTCCTCAAGGGGCAGATGGCTGGACTGAGCTGTGCTACAGGACATGACAAAAATCAGTTAAATAACTGAATAAGGCCTGAAACAATCAGTCGATTATTCAATTAGTCGACTGACAGAAAATTATTCACACAATTTTGATAATAAATTGATTAAATTTGTCAAGAAAAAATGCTTTCCTGCTTCTAAAAATGTTTGTTTGCTGCTATTTTAAAAATTATCTTTGGCTTCTGGACTGTTGACCTTCACCTGGGGAATTGTGAAGGGCAGACTCAATCTATTCACTATAAAAATAATCAGATTAAAAAATAGATTAAACAAGCAAATAAGGAAAAATGTGAGAGAAAAAGTAATGGATAATGGCCATCTCCTCTTAAAAAGAGCCAACTCTGAACATGGATTTCTACCCCTAGACTTTTCATTTATAAAACATGCTAGATTGGATCCGTTCTGGGGTGATTAAAGCACTCAGATCCGTAAAACGATTACACAAAGCATTATTTAACAGCAAATTCGTATAAATACATCTTTCAAGACATTACCCTGGATCACTTACGGGCTGGTGATGACATCTTAATAGGGCTGGATATCCAAGACGCACAGTCCCCTCGTTCCGACGGCTCTGATTTAATAGACCGTATTTGTTGGGAGAACTCATCCGGACTGTGCGCCTGATCGTCCATGCACGAGTCATCTCCCTCTTCCCTGTCCGTCGCACTCAGCGGCCTCCTGTCCGACATGAGCGCCTCCACGCTGAAAGGCAGGCAGGACACCTGCGCCGTGCGCTTCTTCAGGCGCGGCGGCAGTTCATCCTCGTCTGCTGAAAACTCGTCCCTCCAGTCTCCAGGGGAAGACATGCTCTCTTTCTGTAGGGGGGGCGCAATCGATATCTAATTCCAACCCAGAAAACACATACCTTTTTGTCACGGAGTGCACGCAGCGTCCACGCGTTGAGGAATTCGCACTTGGAGGAAGTTGAGACAAAGTTGATAAAATTGATGTTGGAAAAACTTTTGGGAGGCAACGCCGAACTTTCAGCCAATGATGCGTCCTCATCCCGCGGTTGGGGGAAGACTTGTGATTGGACGCTGTGTTTGGGGCGACCGGATCATTGTGGCGCCACACCCCCAATCAGCTGCAGTGCACGCATGGAGAAGATTGTTTCTTGAAAATAGCCCACAAGGTTTTAACATAATTACTGACAGTAACAGACAGTGTTTTATTCACTGTGCAAACTGTAGACCCTTAGCTGACAATGGACGTGCGGGAAAATCCTGCTTTATGTCCTGAATTAATGCTGTTAGTAAGACTTAATACGAATTTTGGATGAGATTGAAGCCTGGTATTTTGTGGGGAAAAGAACCCTACTAAAATAAGTAAATCCCATCTGCTAAACTCTCCTCCATCCTGCAATTAGGCTGGTGGATTTTCCTGGGCTTGTCTCCGAGCATCAGCAGCTCCAGGATGAAAAGCATCAGTGTGACAGCTGAAGAGCTGTATTTCCACTTAACAAAAGCTGACAGAGCTCCTAATTCATGCCTTAACTCGTAAGGCCTGACTCACCAGTTGTGGAAGTAATCACAATGGTAATCAATAACAATCATGGTGCTTTTAAATTTCAGATATTACAGCAACCACACTCTTAAATGTGAGAGTCAGTCGGGAGATGGATTATGGTTTTAGGCAGGCTTTAAAATGACTGTCATTACATTGTTATTATTAACACCTTGTAATTAGGTCTGTGGAATCCGGTTCTTTTAAGCAGGATTTAACGGTAATGATGGAAAATTGCTACCTTCCTGAGGTGTGTGGCGCCCGCTGCGATTAGTCCCAGTCGGTGGAGACAGAGACGTCTCGTGCCTGTTTGAAGCTCATACCTGTAGAGCTGCAGAGTATTAGGAAATATCATGAGAAGTACAACAGCAGCTCTAGCCTTCCTAAACATGGGCTCTCACTGATGGGATGAGGCAATGCAATGTCCTGAAAACCAGCCAAAAAGGCCATGGATGTTAAAACTGATGATGAACATCAGAAGGTTTAATGTAATTCTGAGTGAGATTTAGTGTTCATTCAGCCAAGAAAAGAGACAGCAGCTGATGGAAAATTAATGTGCTTATTGCATGCTGTGTCCTACACTCTGCTCCGTGTTTCTATATACACTCATCTCTGGCTCCTTGTCCACTGTGTGTGTCTCTCTCATATACAGATGCCCACACATACAAAGGCCACCGGTGAAGTGACTGGAGTTTGCTGTTCAGAGCTCTGTGATCAGCCCTCAGAGGGACGGTGTCCTCTCTGTAATCAGCTAAATTACAGCGGCATCAGGGGCTCGACTCCACACTACATCAACATTATTAGTCTCCATATGAAGCAAAGTGCTCACCCAGCATGAGCTCACTCTCCCGTAAACACATGCAAATCAATTAAGGGGCCTATCTGTTGTTTCAGCGTGCTTCCTAAAGATAGGTTTATGGAGTGCATGGACGGGGGGGTGTGAGTGTGTGCATATGTTTGAAATTTAAACAAACTGAAGAATTTAGGAGACCAAGAATTGTTGGGAACATTTACCCATAGGCTAATATCAACAACGACATTTCTGCAGAATCCGATTAGCTGGGAAAATCTAGTTTAGGGGGTAATGTACAGCAAGGCGATTGGTTAGAAGTGTATAATGGTAGTGGTAAAGTTGGAAAAACAATGAAACTGTAAGTTTTTATTTTTAAAAATCACAATGTATCAAAAAATGAATGGTAAGCATTGCTGACCATATCATGATGTTACATTTTATATTCTTGATAACAAGAAAACAATGTTAAACTTGCTGATCACATACTGTTTAAAATTGCTTTAAATCAGTAATTTGTAATTTACATTGACTACACTGTATCATTACAGAATCCAAATCAGACTCTTATAAAGTCAAAGCAGTTAACGCGGGACATACCCTCATGTGAAGACACGTAAACGCTCTGTGGATCTATGCAGAGAAGGGTTAAAGAGAGAAGTTAAATTCAAGTGTAAGACAGGTGATGAGTTGGTCCAATTTCTTGTCGAGAGGCATGTTAAAATCAGCGGGTTAACAGAATCAGTAATATCAATAGTTTAAATAGTAACACTAGCAGTAGTAGATGCAGTAGTGGTTTGGGCTATTGCAGTTAAAATTACAGTGGTAGCAAAAGCAAGGTTAATAATATGCAGCACAAATGTACATTAGGGCAAGAAGAAGCAGCAGTTTTCACTGCTTCGTGATATTATCATCCATAAAATAGGCGTATTGATGTGTGAGCTTAATTAGCTAGTTTAGTACATCAGCATATAACCAGAGGTAGTCTGATCAACAATTTGAGGCCCTCTATGATCTTCCTCCAGTAACCAGGCCCAAATAGTGCACTGCGGTCCACTGGTCTGTCTCCCATTGTGGGGGAAGAAATACAAGGAAAGTTACAGAAGAGGTGGCGAAACCTGACCATCCAAGCATAGCTTACAGAGTCAGAGTATCTCAGTACGGGGCAGAGCAGCTCCAGACCAGAGGGCTACAGCCCTCAGCTCACATTGATCGCCTCAAACACCAATTAGCACTGCTCTCCGTTCCACCTCTCTTCCCCTGCATTAGTTCTGCTAGCAACAGTGTAGAGTACGCGTACACACACAAATTCACACATAATGGTACAGTCTACAACTGTAAAGTGTTTTGTTTTTGTGAACATCAACACTGTGTTTTTTTTTATAAAGATCCTCACATACTTAGGAGTCTAAATCAGGAAAAAAAGCTTCTTTCAATACCGTTAATCTAGTCTGTATAATCTTCACAGGATGCAGACACTTACAAATCATGCTGAATATTCCTCAATACAAAATCTCAGTTAACAACTTGCTTGTCTTACATTTGAAATAGTCATATAACCTTCCACACAATTTTACAATGTGAAGTTTGAGTCTATTTTAGCCAATAGCGTTGTTTCCAGGACATGCTTCATCATGTTCAAAGCGGAGTCAAACATACTAACTACTGCTACACACAGCAACCCACAGACTTTTTTCACTGTAGCCATCACAAGCCAATCAAGACTGAATCAATATTTCATCTGGAGACAGTCAAAATAAACTACCCATAAAAAAAGAAAGGCACAACCACGGACAACTCCAAGATAACTGATGTTTAATGTCGTTATAAGTATAGGGTAGGACAGATTACAGCTAAAAGCAAAATGAGCTCTTAAGATGTTTTCCTAAATCTAAGGAGAGGAGTTTATTTGGGGTGCATTTTGGCCCGCATGCCTTCAGAGGAGTCCTGTGTTATAAAGCTGACACCCACCACTCCCAGAGCTGTTTATTTACTGGAGTGTGGTGGTTAGGGTGTACTTTCTTGAATTTCAGTCTTCAATGTATGAATGTAGCGCATAACTGTATAACTGTAACAATATAACAGTGAAAAGCATAGGGAAGAAGATTATCATCAGTTGTGCCCCCTGAAGCTAATCTAAATTAAGGTTTAATCAGTGTCACAACTTGTTTGCAGCAAGTCTGTTTATAATATTAAAAAAGCCAAAACAAACGACTCACTAATCCCCTCCCTGACGAAAGCACTGCGGCTACAGTAAATCCCCATCTCACCACAACAAATTACAGGCATATAGTATGTCAAAACTTTTTCAAGTTTGACACACATTTACTGCAAACAGCCAACCACAAATGTATCATTCAAAACTGCTTCCTGAAAAAGACCCGCGGCTTCATGAAGTCACACTTGTGCATCTTCAGCACTCATTAACACCAGGGAAATATTTGTCATCATATGATCGAGATCACAAGGGAGAGAAATATTACACATACAAGTAAGTGTGCTGCTGTGTGGCTATTTAGGCTCAGCGCTGCATAGTTTAAGCAATGAGGAAGTAACAGCAACTTCTGCTAACTGGAATCCTTTACCATGCGCTAATATGCAGCCATTGGTTCTGCTTGAGCCAGTTGATAGAGCGTCTTGCTTAAATCCATTCCAACATGAACATTGTTAGCCATGCAAGTGTACTAAAAACATGTGTGCAGAAAGTAGAGTACATAAAGGAAACTGTGTCCTTAGCTTCCTCTACACGCGAAAGCCACTTGTGCATTCTGTCTCCAACCCCTGTACACACAAGCACAATCAACGTCTGCAGGGAGTGAGAGTGGAGCCTTTCCACATCATGTGTTGTACCTTGATAAAAAAAAAACCTTATCTGTGATCTATAGGCTGATAAGACTTTAGGCAAGGGTAAATTTAGTAGGCAAATCTTTGGCAAATTCTTAATGCATTACCGTCTCTAGTGAATATAGTCTAGAAAGCACTCTGTATGTGAACCTATGTGTTTGTAATCATAAAAAAACACATAAATCACCTTTCAACTACACCTAATCAACTACATGTTCACAATAATTTCGACCAAACTCAGGTCAAAGTGATTCATCATAGAAAACACATTAACCCAGTGTATCTTGTTTCTCTGCAGATGCCACCAGGGCTCAAAGAGACTAAGACTTCACAGCAGTTTGCTCTTGGCTGGCAAAGGGATGCTGCCTGTTGACTCAATTAAGGCTGATGAAACTTTGTGTCAGCGTTTGTTTTTCCTGCACATTTCGTCACCCTGAATTGTGTCTGGCAGAGAAAATAATGAAACGCTCTTAGGAGTTGATATCTATATAAAACACACAAGGCACCGTCATCGCATTACAGTTTAGCAAAATGACATGGTGATAATTCTTTCAGAGATGAAAGGAAGGGATGTGTAAACATGCTGTCAAATGATATACCTTTTTAAATGATGTGGCTGCTTCATACTTGTTGGCTTGGGGTCAACATCAACATAATTTGATTAGAAAGGTGTGCATTTGAAGCATCCCAATTTACCATGTTGGATATTCGGCACGCCACCACTTTGGTCCAGAAATGAAATATATTAACAACTATTGGATGGATTTCTACCAGACATTCATGGTTCCCAGATTATGAACTGGTACGATTTTTGGTGATCCTCTCACCCTTCCTCTAGTGCCACCATCAGTTCAAAATTTAAATTTTTCA